GACACCTGGACTAGTTTCATGTAACTTATCTATTGTGCATTGTGCTGCTCTAAACATGGGAAGCGTGAGATCATTATTTTTTAACAGAAATGGAAAAATACTGGACCCAGTACTGCATTAATTACAGAGCAAGTTTGTTTAAATCTATGCATTTGTGATTGCTCAAATTAAAAATAGCTTTGTAAGAGGAAAAAGATGTGAAACTTATGTACTAGGTCAATGTGCTTAGGTTTTCTGAGTTGTTTTCCATTTGTAAATAAGTAATTCAGTGAAAACTCAAAATGTGTAGCTCCACATAAGTAAATAATTAATAACCATCTTCTTTACGGGTGGTTTATTAAATATTATCTCTAAAAATATGTACAGAAGAAGGGTAGAAGTGAGGAAGAATAACTGTCCTAGATATCCAAAGAGAAGCATGAGAATGAGAAAACCAGGGTTTTAGACTCCTGACAATATCAATTTCCTTTCTGTTCTTTCATGGTGTAAGATTGTTACTTCCAAACATCACACATCTTCAGAAGTTAACATTAGTCTTCACATGAACTAAGTGAACTGGCCATGATTTTCAGGAACTTTTGAGGAAAAAAAATAACATAATTTCAAAGGACAACAACATGGGGGCCCTTGAGTTATGAACAGTGCCCTGGATTTAGTGTCATATTTTCTTGTGTACCTTTTAACTTTTCATGGATAACATTTGGGAAGATCTTTAGATGCAACCATAAAACCATTTACTTCAACTCCATAGCTCAGTAACGCAAGTCACATATACCTATGGTAGCACTTGGAAACAGGAAGTCTGACTTCAAAGACTGATATTGGGTTTAGAGGCCACATAACTCATTCAGAGCCATACCCCAAGTGTCATAATGAGGATGTGCATTTTTATTTAATAACCTCACATAAGAGTATTGCTTATAGAGTCTGGATAATTATGTGAGTGTGGTGGCTCTTGTGAGACAGAAGAGAAGGCAAAAGTAAGATATGAGCACAGAAGAATAGCAGAAATGTTCTATGTGGATTTGGGGGACGTGGATACTGGGGATTGAAGCCACATCCTCAACCCTATTTATTGTATTTCATTTAGAGACAGAGTCTCACTGAGTTATTTAGCACCTTCCCTTTTTCTGAGGCTGGCTTTGAACTCACAATCCTCCTGCCTCATCCTCCCGAACTGCTGGGATTACAGGAATGAGCCAACACGCCTGGACTATTTTATGTGTTTTTAAGTCACTCCTAAAATTTCTTCC